TTTGTGGTAGCTCATACCTGTAATCTCAGCACTTTGGGAGGTCAAAACAGGAGGATCACTTGGAGCCAGGAGTTTCAGACCAGCCTGGGCAACACAGCAAGACCCTGTTCCTACAAAAATTCAAAAAATTAGCTGAGCATGGTGGTGCCTTCCTGTGGTTCCAGCTACTCAAGGGGCTGAGGTGGGAGGTCTGCTTGAGCCCAGGAGTTCAAGGCTGCAGTGAGCTGTGATTGCACCACTGCACTTCAGCCTGGGTGACAGAGCAAGACCCTGTCTCAAAAAAAAGAAGAAGAATTCAAAGCATGGATTACAAGAAGGCTCAATGAGATCCAAGACAAGGCTGAAAATTAACACAAATAAACTTCTAAAGCAATTCGAGAACTGACGGAAGAGATGAACAGCTTACAGTGAAACCAATCAGAGCTTGTGGAATTTAAAAACTCACTTAAGAAATTTCAAAATACAGTTGAGAACATTATCAATTGACTGGACCAAGCTGAAGAAAGAATTTCAGAGCATGAAGAATAGTCTTTTGAAATAACCCAGTCAAATAAATATAAGGAAAAATACTTTTTAAAAATGAACAATGTATTTGAGAAATATGGGATTATGTGTAAAGCAACCAAACCTACCAACTATTGGCATTCCTGAGAAAGAAGGAGAAAAAGTAAACAACCTAGAAAACGTACTTGAGGGAATAATTCAAGAAAATTTTCATAATCTTGCTAGAGAGGTAGACGTCCAGATAAAAAGAAATCTAATGAACACTTGTGAGATACTATACAAAATGAACACCCCCAAGGCAAATAATCACCAGATTGTCCAAGGTCAACACGAAAGAAAAGAAGGCAGCCAGAGAGACAGGTCAGATCATATACAAAAAGAACCCCATCAAGCTAACAGTGAACTTTTCAGCAGACACCTGACAAGCCAGGAGATATTGGAGGCCTATTTTCAGCATTCTTAAAGAAAATAAATTCCAAGCAAGAATTTCATATCCTGCCAAGCTAAGCTTCATAAATAAAGGAGAAAGGTCTTTTCCAGACAAACAAGCACTAAGGGAATTTGTTACCACTAGACCAGCCTTACAAGAGCTCCTTAAGGGAGTTCTAAACAGGCTACTGACAGAATAATACCTACTATCAAAAAAACAGACATCAGTACATAGCCCACATACCTTACAAAGCAGCCACACAATAGAAACTATAAAGCCACCAGCTAACAACATCATAGTAGGATTCTATTTCTAGAAAACACTTAAGACTCCACCAAAATGCTCCTAGAACTGATGAAAAGACTTCAGTAATGTTTCAGGATACAAAATCAATGTACTACATCAGTATCATTTATATATATTCATATTGTTAAAGCTGAGAGCAAATAAAGAATAAATCTCTTTTACAATAGCCACAAAAAATATAGTATCTACAAATACATCTAACCAGGGAGATGAAAGATCACTATAAAGAGAACTACAGGCTGGGCATGGTGGCTCACGCCTGTAATCCCAGCATTTTGGGAGGCCGAGGCGGGTGGATCACAAGGTCAAGAGATCGAGACCATCCTAGTCAACATGGTGAAACCCCATCTCTACTAAAAATACAAAAAATTAGCTGGGCATGGTGGCGCATGCCTTTAATCCCAGCTACTCAGGAGGCTGAGGCAGGAGAATTGCCTGAACCCAGGAGGAAGAGGTTGCGGTGAGCCGAGATTGTGCCATTGCACTCCAGCCTGGGTAACAAGAGTGAAACTCCATCTCAAAAAAAAAAAAAAAAGAAAAAGAAAAAGAAAAAGAAAAATAGAACTACAAAACACTTCAGAAAGAAATCATAGATAACACATACCAATGAAAAACATTTTATGCTCATGGACTGGAAGGCTCAATATCATTAAAATGGCCAGTCTGCCCAAAGCAATCTACAGATTCAATGTTATTCCTATCAAACTACCAATGTCATTTTTCACAGAACTAGAAAAAACTATTCTAAAATTCATATGGAACCAAAAAAGAACACAAGTAGCTAATGCAATTCTAAGCAAAAAGAACAAATCTGGAAGTATAACATTACCCAACTTAAAACTATATTATACTATAGTAACCAAAACAGCATGGTGCTGATACAAAAACAGACATGTGGACCAATGGAATAGAATAGAGAACTCAAGAAATAAAGCCACACACCTATAGCCATCTGATATTTGACAATGTCCTCAAAAATAAGCAATGAGAAAATGACTCTCTTTTCAATAAATGGTGCTGGGATAGTTGGCTAGCTATATGCAAAGGAAAGAAACTGGATTGCTACTGATAGCAGCAGCAACCCATTTGGAGTGGCCACTGCCATCATGCTAGTTGCAGCAGGGAGGCATGGCTAGGGTTGCACACACTGTAGCGCCATTGGGAGCCAGGGATAAGTGGGCCCTTCACCTCTTCCAAGTTGTTGGGGCAGGAGCAGGTGCAGCCACAGCTACCCAAGTTGTGGCTGTGGATATGAGCCTCCAAGCTGTGGCTGTGGAAAGAACAGGAAGGAGCCCCCCTGCCCAAGGTACAGGGGCTGCTGCCCAAACTGCAGCTGTGGACTCATGGATCCTTGCACTCTTGGGGGCCTGGGAACGCCCCCACTGCCCTCACAGACTCAGAAATGTCTGCTCCCACTGCCTGGCTTCTCCCTGCTATTGATTCCCACTCCAATCTCAGAGCTCAGTTGGGGCCAACCCAAGAGCTGTCACACCTGGCCAGGTGTGCACACACTTGGGGCAGTGCTGGCTTGCCAGCCCCCTGCCACCTTGGCCCCCTCCAGACTTTGGGCAACAATGAGTATAGGAGGGAAGCCAATGGGGGTGCTTAGGGAAGCTTAGCACTGACCTGCAGGAACCCCTTGGCACCTACAGCCTGGATGCCATGAATGGCAGCAGGAGGCAGACAGGTTCCTGGGTGGAATTGGGTGGGTCTCTGGTGAGGCCCCACCTTCAGGCCAAGGAAGGCCTGAAGGCTGGGGGCCAGGCTGCCAGTCCCACAGACCAGAGTGGGAACTTGTGGTGACTTTTCCAGGCCTGCCCATGGTCTGCCCATGGACCAATCAGTGTGTACTTCCTTCCCTCTGAGGCCCATAAAATCTCAGGGTTCAGCCAGAGCTGAGCAAACATAGGGATGAATAGCTACAGAGGGGCTACCCACTCCAGGGCCTCCTCTGAGCTATTCTGTCACTCAATAAAGCTCCTCTTAACCTTGTTCACCCTCCACTTGTCTGCATACCTCATTCTTCCTGGATACAGGGTAAGAACTTGGAACCTGCTGAATGGCAGGGCTGAAAGAGCTGCAATATGAACAGGGCTGAAACATACCCCTTGCTCGACTGTTGTAGGTAAAGAGAAGGAGAGAAGAGCTGTGGCCCTTCAGGGAGCCCAGACCTAGAAGCTGCGCCAGGGCTGTGACTTCTTCTTTGGGGCCCTATGAATCTCCAAGCTTCCAGGCACCACTGCGTTCCCCAGTGGCAGCCATGGAAGCTGCTTATGGTGTGCCTGCTCCAGCCACAACCATGCAGAGAGCTGGTGCCCATCCTGGTACCTGGAGCTTTCTGGCCCACTGCAGCAGCCTGTGTCTGACTGTGTACAGTGGCCAGACCCCATGCTGTCTCACTCATACAACCCTTGATGCTCCATGCCTTGCTTGCCCTTGGCAGGCATGGGACCTAGGCTGGTAGCATGAGCTAAGGGCAACCTGCCAGGCCCAGTGGGCAGAATAAGCCCAGCAGGCCTGAGCAACAGGCACCATTAGCCACAGAGGTTTCTGCCCAGAAAAGCAACACCCCAAGGATCCTGCAACACCACCTTTCACTATATTCAAAATTATGCATGTTTTCATTTACAAGTGGGAGCTAAACATTGCGTACTCATGGACATAAAGGTGGCAATGATAGACACTGGGAACTACTAGAGAGGGGAGGGAGGGAGGATGGAAAGAGTTGAAAAACTACCAATTGGGAATGGGGGCAGTGGCTTATGCCTGTAATCCCACCTCTTTGGGAGGCTGAGGCGGGCGGATCATGAAGTCAGGAGATCAACACCATCCTGGTCAACATGGTGAAAACCCATCTCTTCTAAAATACAAAAAAATTAGCCGGGCATGGTGGTGCGTGCCTGTAGTCCCAGCTACTTGGGAGGCTGAGGCAGGGGAATCGCTTGAACCTGGGAGAGAGAGATTGCAGTGAGCTGACATCACATCACTGCACTCTAGCCTGGGTGACAGAGCAAGACTCTGTCTCAAAAAAAAAAAAAAAGGAAAGAAAAACTACCTGGGTATTCTGCTCACTACCTGGGTGACAGGATCATTCATACCCCAAACCTCAGCATCATGTAATATACCCATGTAACAAAGCTGCACATGTACCCCTGAATCTAAAATAACAGTTGAAATTATTTTAAGAAAAAGAATACACACACTCATAGATACACAGATTTCCATCTATAGTTGTATCTGTATCTATATTGAAAACCATGAGTTCAACTGATTCTAATCCAGTATTGTAAATTTCATTCTAGTTTTCTCCATTACCATATTTGTAATTTTCTTCTCTGACAATAAGAGACCTGGCTCCCATTATCCTTAATATTCTTACAATTGAGTCTTATTACTCACAGTAGTTATACTCTATAAAGTCCCCAGGAACACTGAATTATTAGATGATGAAAAACCGGTCACAGATGAAGTACAGGGTTAGGTTCCTGCAAGTCTCTGGTCACAACATTTCTATCCACTAATCAATATATAACCTTCTTTTATGTGTGTTTTTATTAAGGACGCCTTATTTAGTATATATTCTTCATTCATTAAAATTCAATTCATGGCCAGCAGCACTATAACTCATGCCCAGGCAAAGCTTATCTACACATGTATTTTCTCCGTAAGGCACATCACAGCCTTCTTGTGAGTAAGAACATTAGTCAGCACTTCAGCCCTATGCTTGGGGCCATTTTAAACAGTGAAATCACCACAAAAAGCAAAAAAAAAATTTTTTTAATTGGCACTAAATAAACTGTGGAAAAGATACTTCTTTACAGTATGAGAGCTGAAATGAAACAAGAAAGCCTCAGCTGGGAATGTGTACATCCAGCAACTTAAGTTTTTGTTGCTATGTGCATGTCTGTGAATGGCCACGAAAGCTTCACATTTTGAGGTTACAAGTACATTTTAACAAGTAGGCAAATTCTCAAATATGGAATCAACAAGCAATGAGGATCAATTATATTTCTTTGATGAATGTCCTCATTTATAACCCATCTCCCATCAGTGCTGCCTCTCCACTCCACTGTGGGAATGCCCTTAGCCTGCTCAGTCTCTGACACAGCTCTGGCTGTAGTGCCTGCCACCATGCCCCGCCACCTTCTCCTTCACTCTTGAATCCACCTATTGACTTTAGGACTGAATTATTAAGGAAGAGAAAGGAGAATAATACTACTTCACTTTGAGAGTTTAAAAAGAATCTGTCTAAATCAATGAGGTATTTCAGATGTAGGAAGAAATAACAATTTATGTATATCTCACTGAGCTTAAGGAATAAAGTAATACGGATACAATTGAGGGACATCTTTCCATGTATTAATCCCCAATTCCATTCCCTTTCTCTCTCTCAAAGGTGGTTACTACCTTCATTTATTTGTTGTTATTCCTATACATGTTTTTATGCCATAATATACTGTTTTGCATATTTTAAAACTTGATATTAATGATATACTATGTGTAGTGATATACAACTTGCATTTCTTTTTGCTGAATGTTTTTGATACCTATATCTCGGGGTTTGCTCATGTTAGTTCTTGTATCATATTCTGCTATATGAGTAAGATAGGTAAATATTTATGTTATTTCCCATTTTAATTATTACAGTGTTGCAAAAAATATTCTTGTATATGTCTCTTGTGATCTGTAAGGGAGTTTTCTAAGGCCTATACTTAGAAGTAGAATTGTGGGATTGTTGGACGTGGATATCGTCAACTTTACTAGATACTGTCAGATTGTTTTCCAAGGTGGCTATACCAATTTACACTCCCAGTAGCAGTATGTGAAAGTTCCCTTTTCTTTACATCCTTAACAACACTTATTGTCAGATTTGTTTTTGCCAGTATAATGGGGATGAAATAATATCTTGTTTAAATTTGTATTTTTACATATAAACCAACGAGATTGAGCATTTCTTAGGTGTTTTCATTTGAGTGAAATGCCCTTTTTCCTTTTAGGTATTTTTTTTCTTATTTATATGCAAGCATTCTTGATATATTCTGGATGTGAATTGTTGTTTATATGTTTCCCACATTTGCTCATCAGTATGGCTTGTCTTTTTATTTTGTTTATGAAGTTTTTGACGTAGAGAAGTTTTTTATTTTTATTTTATTTATTTTGAGACAGGGTCTAACTGTCATCCAGGTTGGAGTGCAGTGGTGTGATCATGGCTTCTTGCCGCCTTGACCTCTTGGGCTCAAGTGATACTCTTGCCTCAGCCTCCTGAGTAGCTGGGACTACAAGGCATGCACCAACATACCTGGCTAATTTTTTTTAATTTTTGTAGAGATTACGTAATGTCTCACTATGTTGCTCAGACTGGTCTCAAACTCCTGAGCTCAAGTGATCCTCTTGCCTGGTCTCCCTAAGTGTTGGGATTACAGATGTGAGCCATTGAAGTGTTTTTTTTTTTTTTTTGGTGGTTGTTGTTTGTTTTCTGAGACAAAGTCTTGCTCTGTCGTGCAGTGACACGATCTTGGCTCACTGCAACCTCCGTCTCCCTGGTTCAAGTGATTCTCCTGCCTCAGCCTACCGAATAGCTGGGATTACAGGCACGGGCCACTGCGTTTGGCTAATTTTTGTATTTTTAGTAGAGATGGGGTTTTAAAATTTTAATGTAATTATGTAAGTGTTTTTGTTATAATTTGTGCTTTTTGCATCTTTTAAAATAAATCCTTTCCTAGCTTCTAAAAGCTATTAAATTTTGCTTTCCACATTTAGGTTACCAATCCTATACATAAACTTTTTGCTTACTCTACTCAAGCTGTGACACCATCTGCCAATGATGGTATGTCCCCACTAAAAATCATGTTGAAATTTGATTCCTGATGTGGCAGTATTGGGAGGTGTGGTCTAGTGAGAGGTGTCTGAGTTATGGGGGGCAGATTTCTCATCAATAGATTAATGCCAAGTGAGTTCTCACTCTTGAGGAGTGGATTAGTTCTCTCAAGAGCATATTGTTACAAAGTGAGTTTCTTTCTGTTTGGGCCCCCTGTGTACATGTCCACTGCCCCCTCTGATCTTCTGCCATGCTATGACATAACAGGAAAACCCTTGCCAAAAGCCAGTGCCATTCCCTTGAACTTCCCAGCCTGAAGAACTGTAAGTGAAATAAACCTCTATTCTTTAAACATGACCCAGCCCTAGCTATTCTGTTATAGCAACACAAAACAGACTAAGATGGTCAATATATATATTACACCTTGATTATACACAATAGAAATAGAATGTTTAATCTTTCAAGAAAGTTTGGAGTTTATCTTATAAAGAGTTGAGCATTCCCCCTAAACTTAATTGAAGACTATTAGGAGGCTGGGTGAGGTGGCTCACACCTGTAATCTCAGCATTTTGGGAGGTTGAGGCAGGTAGATCATCTGAGGTCAGAAGTTCAAGACCAGCTTGACCAATACAGTGAAACCCTGTCTCTACTAAAAATACAAAAATTAGCTGGGCATGGTGGCGCCTGCCTGTAGTCCCATCTACTCAGGAGGCTAAGACAGGAGAATTGCTTGAACCAGGGAGGCAGAGGTTTCAGTGAGCCAAGATCACACCCCACTGCATTCTAGCCTGGGTAACAAACTGAGACTCCATCTAGAAAAAAAAAAAGAAGAAGAAAAAGAAAAAAAGACTATTAGGTAGGTCCTACAATTAGCATTTTTAGGATTCCCAGTACAGTTTGAATAATTGAGCCCAGTTGTTATTTATGGAGAAACCAACTGCCTGAGGGCCTTCAGTACATACCATTCTATTTGTCCTTGCCACCGGCCAGGTGGTATTCATTTACTCTATAGAATGACTAGCAAAGTTTACAGGAATAGGAGTGGGAAAGATATCCAGAGGTGTCAACAGATTATTTTCATGAGAGATGCAGGAGTTGGGCCATTTTCTGCTCTTTTCAGTAGATTTCTTATTAAGGTGAAGGAGTGTGGCAATCAATTGCAGTCAGAGCTGTCTGGCAGGATGTGTTAGACCCAGTAGTCAGTTAGATTAGAAGTGTTTGCTAGTTCAGGAGAGCCTCACCAGTTTATTTTCCTTCATAAGTAAAGATCCAGTGATGGCTCTGAAAGATAGAAGATACTAATGTTTCTACCTTTCCTGTACCTCCCAAGCTCTAAGATGTTTCTTCTCTTAGTGCTGGGGTTGTTTAATCTACCTCCTCCACTACCACGCCAGGCGCAGTGGCTCACGCCTGTAATCCCAGCACTTTGGGAGGCCGAGGCAGGTGGATCATCTGAGTTCAGGAGTTTGAGACCAACCAGCCTAACATGATGAAACTACATCTCTTTTAAGAACGAACACACATAGACACACACACACACACACACACACACACACACACACAAAATTAGCCGAGCATGATGGTGCATGCCTATAATCCCAGCTACTCAGAAGGCTGAGGCAGGAGAATCTCTTGAACCTGGGAGGTGGAGCTTGCAGTGAGCCAAGATTGCACCACTGCACTCTAGCCTAGGTGATAGAGAAAAACACCGTCTCAAAAAAAAAAAAAAAAAATTAGTGTCTCAATCCACTTCTAATAGCTATAGCTTCACCTTTTTTTCCCAATCATTTCCTTCTCACATCCAGACCTTGTAGCCAGAAAGGTAAGGTGTAACAACGACAACAAAAGGACATTTTTCTAAAACTTATAGAGACTCATTGTGTCCCCGATTTTGGTCCACATGGGCCACTATAGGGGGACCTAGGGAGAAATGTTTCCAACCACATGGTCATTATCCTTTTGATCTGGAACCTTGCTAAACAACAGATAAGTAACTGAACCAGAATTAAATCCCTTAGGCCCCCTTTTGGCTGGACTGCCACCCAGAGGATGTACCAACCGGGCCAGCCTGTGACTGCCATTAAGGGAAAGAGAGAAGCGTCATGTCCAGGAATTTCCAGGGTAGAATTCTGAAGTTTCAAGGCAGATTTATAAGCAACGCACACCCCACCCAATCCCATCCCCTTTGTCCCTTGGCCATCATTACTAGGAATTGGCCAAGCGGAAATGATCTTTTTCTGGGGACAGCCCCATACCTGTAATCTCAGTACTTTGGGAGACTGAGGCAGGCAGATGACTTGAGTTCAGGACTTTTGAGACTAGCCTAGCCAACATAGTGAAATCCCATCTCTACTAAAAATATAAAAATTAGCTGGGCATGGTGGCACGTGCCTTTAGTACCAGTTACTCAGAAGGCTGAGGCAGGAAAATTGCTTGAACCTGAGAGGTGGAGGTTGCAGTGAGCCAAGATTGCACCGCTGCACTCCAGCCTCGGTGACAGAGTAAGACTTCAACTTAAAACAAAACCAAACCCCAAAACACTTTACAGTGAGTTACACCATAGGGATGGTCATAAGAAAGCTTCAAATGTTTAAGGAAACACCATCAGTAGTCACATTGTCCTAAGATAACTGGAAGGGCTATCCAAATGAGGCTACTTTAGATTACTCAGAGGATTTTCTCAGAGGGATAACTGACTTGCTATGTGTACGCACCTGTGCCAATTATTCCTACAATGTAAGCCAGCCAATTAAGAGTGGAAAAAAATTTTTCCTAACTTTAGCTGAAATGATCAGTAGCATCATATTGGCTCTGGAAGGGATTCAAATCCACCTCACTTTACTGTTTAGGGTTGTTGATTGATATAATTGTCCTAGATTTCCTCCTTGCAGGCCATGACAAAATATGTGCAAATACTAATACATCTTCCTGTACTTACTTGGATTTATTCCTTGGGCCAAGTGGAAAAAATCAATACATAAACAATGCCACAGAGGCAGCCAAAGTAGACCCTAATGCTTTATGAGATTTGTTTGGCTAACTGGGCCTGGAACAGTGGAAAGCATGGTTATTAATATTGCAGGTTGGCCTTATCTTGCTACCAGGAGTCTCATTGACAATAGCCTTATTAATGCTGTATGAAACAAATTGAAAAGATTTGGTCCCAGCCCCTGGTTCAGATTCATTGGACTAACAGTGTGGCATACTCATGGGAAAGTTTGCCAGAAGTCAACAATGTACAGAAACAAGGGGTGGATATTGTTGAATGACAATTCTTTATGGGTCTTTCCTGATTCTGCACATCTTATGAATAGAGGCACTGCCTGCCTAGACTGGATAGAACAATGGCTGCCCAAAGATGTCCACATTTTAATCTGCAGAAACTTTGAGACTGGGCACAGTGACACAGGGCTATTATTCCAGAACTTTAGGAGGCTGAGGTGGGAGGATCACTTGAGCCCAGCATTTTGAGACCATCCTGGGAAATAAAGAGAGAATCCATCTCTTAAAAAGAAAAGAAAAGAAAAGAAAAAAATTAGCTAGGCATGGTGGTATATACTGTGATCCTAGCTACTGGGGAGGCTGAGGTGGGAGGACTGCTTGAGCTTGGGAGGTTGAGGCTGCAGTGAGCTGTGATTGTGCCATTGGACTCCAGCCTGGGTAACTGAGACCCTATCTCTTAAAAAAAAAGAAAAAACCTTTGAAAATATGTTACCTTACATGCAAAAGTGACTCTGCAGGATGCAAATAAGAATATTAACATGAGGAGAGAATCCTGGATTACTTGAGTGGGCCCAGCATCATCACAAAGATCCTCATGAAGGAAAGAGGCAGAGAGTCAGAGGAGATATAACAATGAAGTAGAGGTTAGCGTGATGTGGCCACAAGCCAAAAAATGTGGGCAGCCTCTAGAAAATTGAAAAAGCAATTGATTCTCCCTTGCAACTTCCAGAAGGAACATAGACTCTGATTTTAGCCTTGTCAGATCAATTTTAGACTCCTGACCTCCAGAACTAGAAGTTAATAAATCTGTGTCGTTTTAAGCCACTAAGTTCAAGGTAACTTGTTCCAGCAGCAATAGCAAACTAATATATTGTCTTTCTTCTGGACAATTTTTTTTTTTTGAGATAGAGTCTTGCTCTGTGGGCCAAGCTGGAGTGCAGTGGCACAATCTCAGCTCACTACAGCCTCAATCTCCTGCATGCTAGCAATTCTCCCATATCAGCCTCCTGAGTAGCTGGGACAACAGGTTTGCACCACACCTGGCTTTTGCATTTTTTGTAGAGATGGAATTTCGCCACATTGCTCAGACTGGTCTCCATCTCCTGAGCTCAAGCAATCTGCCCGCTTCAGACACCCAAAGTGCTGGGATTACAGGCATGAGCCACCAAACCCAGCCTAGAATTTTTTCCAAGAATATTTCTATAGTGACCAGTCTTAGACTTTAAGTATCTTCTTACAGAGCAAAGGGAAGTCATGCTTACTGCCCATTATAAAAGATTTGTTTTCCATGTTTGAATTTCCTCTCCTATAATGCAAACTACTGTGTGTACAGGTGTCATCTAGCTCTCTTTGTATCACTGTGGAAATTAGGGCTTGGGTAATGATGCCAGAAAATGCTGACACGCTGGCCACTGATACTGCTGTAACAAACACCTTTGTTTCTCATGTAGGAATCTTGTGTTTTCTGCTAGTATTCATGAAATAGATAGCTTGTAATTAGAGACCCAGATCCCTCACAATTCTTTGCGGATTACAGAACAACTCAGATAAGCTACAGGTTCTGCCTTGACCTTTAAATTCACTGACTATTCTCAAATGGGAACAAAGGCTGTAAGAATTATTCAAATGCAATGAATGATGGGAAGACAATACATTCTTTTTAAAACACCCCTCAGCTTCCAGAAGTTTTTTTTTTTTTTTTTCCCCAGAAGCACTCTGGGGAATTCTTCAATGACTGGCATCATACTATAGATGTTGAACATTTCTAAGCTTCTTTTCTCTGTCCTCAATAAGCACCTATAATTTCCCCATGGCTCATTTACTTAGTTTATACATGATGGCAGACTCTTCACATAAACTAACCTCCTAAGTCAAGAAACACATTCCAAATATGTTTTGAAAAAATTTGTCCACTGAAATCATTAAGCTTAGAGTTTTACACAAAAAAAGACCAAGCCTGAGTCTACTTATCAAAATATGTATCCTTCTATTTATGTTTCCAGGAGAACTAGTCTTACCACTTCTGCTTGCCTTAGGGACTGTGTCTCTTAGGTTATCAGCAGTAACCTATTTGTAAGAGAGGTCAAAAAAGAATAGTCTTGGAAGTATTTTCGGGCATTTTCATAAGACCTGAGTAAATTCCAGACTCTTGATAAGAGATGAGCAGGTGAAATGCAGTAACTAAGATGAAATTTATAATAGAATCCTGGGAATACTCAGCATCTACTGGGAAAAATTCACAGTGAAGTTTATCTTGAGTATTCCAATAAACTCAGAATGAAAAAGACTTTGTAGTGAAATATCATTCTTTGATACTTGATAACGTTTGCTACTCCACTTTCCTCTTATGGAAAGATGCAGATGGTAGGGAGGATTCCACCAGCTCTCTCTACAGCAGTGGTTCTCAACCAGGGGCAATTTTGCCTCCCATGGGACATCTGGCACAGTCTAGAGACATTTTTGATTGTCATGACAGGGGTAGGGTGGGACTGCTACTGACATCTAGTGAGTAGGGATTCTGCTAAACATCCTACAATGCACAGAAAAGCCGCCCCCAACATAAAATGATCTGATCCCAAATGTCAATAGTATCAAGGTCAAAAATCCCTGTAATTAATATAGGAAGGATTAAAAATAGACTGGTGATAGAATAATTCTGAATCTTGACTGCAGTGATGGTTACACACATTTATGCATGGAATACTGCGTAGTTACATGCATACACATATATGTGCAAATGAATGCAGGTTAAAATATGACAAAAATCAAATAAGGTCTGTAGTCAAGTCAATTTCCTAATTTTGATATTATACAACAATATCAAATGCCACCACTGGGAGAAGCAAGGGTCCACAGGACTCTGTTCTTTTTTGCAACTTCCTAAAATTACTTCAAAATAAAAAGCGAAAAAACAAATAAGAGCCCTAGGTGTGTTCTTCAGAGGCTGCTATGTCTCCTTACCTTGTGTTGCTGCGGCCCCCTCTTTGCTTCTGTGTGTTATGCAGTGCTTGGCACAGCACTAAGAAAAATGTGGGATCCTACATAGAAACTTTTATCCAAAGTTTGTAGTGGCTATATATTAGTTTGGTGCAAAAGAAACTGCAGTTTTGTCATTAAAATATGGCAAAAACCACAATTACTTTTGTAGCAATCTAATATTTGCACCTCCTACCCAGTGTCTAAAGTTTTAGTTGGCAAATTAATAGACACCCCTCTTTACCACCACCTATTGTGCAGCCCTAATGCTTGGAAACAATTGGAAGTTTATTCCCTTTGATTTTGAAGTAGCCCTAGTGATATTTATGAAGTGTTCCAATTGTTCCTAGACTATGACTGGTATTTTAGGAGAGTTTCTATTTCCCATTATGAACTCTTTTTCAAGACACTGTCTCTCTCAACACACTTAAAATCATATCCATTCCTTAAGGAAAACCTCTTACTTTTCCACCTTCCCCTGTCCCAGGCAGTGAATGAATGTTTCCTTCCTCTGAACTTCTATTGTAAAGCAAGTAAGTTCTACATCTATCATTCTTTGAATTAATCAATCATCGATCTATGTCACTACACCATAAACTTTGGGAGACAAAAGTTTATATGATCTATTGCTCTAAAGGAGTTTCCACTCTGGTGGAAAACATGACAGTTCAACAATTCAGCTCAACAATAAATGGTCTCATGCCAAGAAATTACATTGGGCACTGTGTGATTAGCTTGATGCAAAGTAATTGTTATTTTGGATTGTAAATTTTAAATCATTATAACTAGGCTCAAACACATCTTATTAATCAAAAGAGGAAACATTACAATCAACACATTTTTGCCAACAAGAAATGTTTGTTTACTCCTGTAGCATAAAAATCCATGCTTTGTGATTCGACGAACTCTTGGAAAGCATATTCTGCATCCTGCTGGTTGTGGAAGCATTTTCCCTCCAAAAAGTTGTCGAGTTGCTTGAAGAAGTGGTGGTCAGTTGGTGAGAGGTCGGGTGAATATGGAGAATGAGGCAAAACTTCGTAGACCAATTTGTTCAACTTTTGAAGCGCTCGCTGGGCAACATGCGGTTAGGCAGTGTCATGGAGAAGAACTGGGCCCTTTCTGTTGACCAATGCTGGCTGCAGGCATTGCAGTTTTTGGTGCATCTCATCGAATTGCTGAGCATACTTCTCAGATTAAGGGTCTCCCCAGGATTCAGAAAGTTGTAGTGGATCAGACCCGCAGCAGACCACCAAACAGTGACCATGAGATTTTTCTGGTGCAAGTTCGGCTTTGGGAAGTGCTTTGGAGTGTCGTGGTCCAACCACTGAGCTGGTCGTCCTATAAAATCCACTTTTTGTGGCACTTCACAATCTGATCGAGAAATGGTTCACTGTTGTTGCGTAGATTAAGAGAAAATGACATTTCAAAACGATGATTTTTAAAATCTTCACTAAGTTAATGAGGCACCCACTTATCAAGCTTTTTCACCTTTCCAATTTGCTTCAAATGCCAAATGATTGCAGAATGGTCAACGTTGAGTTCTTTGGCAACTTCTCGTGTAGTTGTAAGAGGACTGGCTTCTATGATAGCTCTTAATTGGTTGTTGTCAACTTCCAATGGCCAGCCACTATGCTCCACATCTTCAAGGCTCTCCTCTCCTTTGCGAAACTTCTTGAACCACCACTGCACTGTACATTCTCATTAGCAGTTCCTAGGCCAAATACGTTGTGGATGTTGTGAGTTGTCTCCGCTGCTTTATAACCTATTTTGAACTTGAAAAAAGAAAACTGCTTGAATTCGTTTTATGTCTAACATCATTTCCACAGTGTAAAATAATATAAACAGCAGTAAGTCATTAGCAAAAAAATAAAGAAACTCACATTAAAATGATGTATAACGTAACCACATTTGTTTAAGAATGTATTTCAATATCAAATGACAAATTCCAACAATGCAAAAACCACAATTACTTCTGCATCGAATAGCAGTTCCCCAACCTTTTTGGCACCAGGGACTGGTTTTGTGGAAGTCAATTTTTCCATGGACTGGGGGTCTCCATCCAATGGAACCAATTTTTCCATGGACTGGGAGATGGTTTTGGGATGAAACTCTTCTTTCTCAGATCATCAGGCATTAGTTAGATTCTCATAAGGAGCACGTAACCTAGATCCCTCACAGGCACAGTTCATATTAGGGATCACCCTCCTATAAGAATCTAATGCTGCTGCTGATGTGACAGAAGTTAAAACTCAGGCAGTAATGCTTGCTCACCTGTCACTCACTTCCTGCTGTGTAGCCCAGTTTCTAACAGGCACAGACTGGTGCTGGTCTACGGCCCAGGTGTTGGGGACCTCTGGTATAAATGATGACTAAGACTTGATCCATGTTTTCAAGGCCTTTAATAAAGGAGATATGCACAGAAGTATGATACAAGGCAGAATGTAGTAACTTTTACATCAAAAAGGTAATAAAGCTATATGGGAATATATGGGATTTAAAGACTATTTCAGATCCAAAAACAGTTATTAGGGAATGTCACATTTGAGTCTTGCGGGATGGGTAAAATGATGGGGTCAAAATAAGGGGGAAGAATTTCTACTTGCAGTTGAAGCTGGCAAGTGTGAGACATGCTTGGAGAGCTTAGTTGACCAGTTTGGTTGAGAATACAATATGAGTGAAGAACAAGGTCTTTGGGTCCCAGAAGCCCCTGGACATCATGCCACAAAGTTTAGACATTATTCCTAACACTTTCGTGAGAGTGACTAGAAATTTTCAAGCAGGTGTCATGATCAAAGCTTTGTTCTAGGATACTATATGGCATCACTGGAAAATAGAGTTCAGGATGGAGACTTTAGATTAAGGCAGAGGAATGAGTAGGAGGTTATTGCTGCAATCTAGGCCAGAACTAATGAGGGTGTAAAGTGTTGTAGCAGGAGAAACGGTTTAAGATGACAGAAGCTGTGCTACAAGTGATGAATGGTCAAGTGAATTGTGCAGGTAATTATGACGGAATGTCAGACAAATGAAATGATTCTGTAGCTTGGGTATTCAAGGACAGTTTTAGAGAGCAGGTGACAATAATGGGTACAAGGAGGTGGGTGTAGTGACTTGAAGGAATGTTCAGAAGTAAGAAAAGTATAATGTACAAGTGCTTCCAAAGAGGGTAATAAAGGTATTTAACTGGAATGGAGTGTATATATTGAGAGCAACAGGAGTGAACACCAGGAGTTAGCTGTGGAAGACCTAGTTAAGAAGCTTTGGCTTTATTTTCTAGGCAGTGGGAAACTGAAGATAGATTTTTGTGTAAGGTAGTAACAAGATAAAGCATGTTATTTATATCACTTACATGACATATGTACTACCTTGTATTAAAGGTATGTTCCTGGACAGGACTAGAGGATTAAAGTTTGTCAGAAGATACTCAATGAATTCTTATTGAGTTGACCAAATCATTTTGTCAAAAAAGAATTATTCTATCATGTGAATAACCTATCAATATACTTGAACTGTGAATAACATTTTCTCAAAATGAAACTTCTTCAGTTGGAGCTGGCTCATACTGGCTTGTGAGGGGGCTTACTGGTAAAGTTTCAGGTGTTTTGTGAGGCAGGTGATCTCAAGTTGGTAAGCAACTGCATCAAGGAAATTGGCAAATGTTATAAATCGAAGCTTATTTTCAGGAGGATTGGTCATTAGTCATTTACCAGCACATCACTGCCAATCTCCCTCCCATCCCTCACCCCCACCATCCAACTATCACTCTAAGTTTTTGACGGCAGAAACTGAGTCTTATTATTCTTCAATTCAATACCATATTATACAGTATTGGGACATTAATTGTGATAAAATATGCTCTTAAAATTTTCTCCAGACAGACCATTTAACAAACAAAAACCACTCGGAAGAAAATGCCACAAATAAACATCTAGACTTGGGGTTGGTAAACTCTCTTCTGTAGGCCAAATCAGATTCGATGTCTGTTTTTGTTCTGCAAGCAGTTTTCAGTAAACACAGCTACAATTATTCATGTATGCATTGTCTACAGTTCCTCTGTGATACAAGGGCAGAACAAGAGTATTTTAGACTGAGATCCTGTGAACCATAAAGCCTAAAATTTTAGATGCTGCACAAATAACGGGGGTTTTTGCAATTTTTTTTTGCACCAACCTAATATTTACTATCTAGTCCTCCCAGACAGTTTGCTAATCTCTGATTTAGACCATAGTCCCCTCACCTCCAATGTCTCTTACAGGTCAGGATTATATCTTAAAAAGTGCCACAGCAACCAATAAACAAACAGTATCTTCTTACAGATAAATCTTATTACCTTATGGTGTCACAAACATCAAAAGTTTTTAGACAATAATGTAGACACAGGTAACTGCAAAGTCCATAAATGCAGGGAGAGACACACACACACATACAGAATATTTACTGGAGAATCAAGAGAAAAACGTACCTCTAAATGGTAGGGAGTGAAGTCTTCCTGGGGAATGTGATGTAGGATAAGTAGAAGTTAGACAGGTGAAGGCAAGAGAAAAGTCATTCTAGGTACAGGAAGGCAGCCTAGGAAAAGTGTGCAGGTAAAACACAGCATGACAGGGGATAACAAGTAATGGGGGAGCTAATGAAGTTGAAGAAAAATTTTATTTAGACGTATGGAAGAAATTCCAAATGCTTGCTTGTCCAGTTGTGACACTTTCTACCTTGAGAAGCACTGATTACCTCACACCTAGACATAATCAAGTAGTCATCCTTCATTCAGCAGGCCTTGTTATTGAGCCACGCTGCCAGAAATTTAGGTGATATCAAATGATGTCTATATTGAAATTGATATCCTCAGAATTCTCTTAGACCCAGATTCCATAGAGCTCTGCTAAAAAGTCGTGTTTATGTAACAGTATTTATTCTCAGAACAAGGTTGGACGGCTTAGGAGCAGAAATGCAGAATGCATCTTTGCGGATTTGGGTCACAGTGGGCTGTCAGGATTTAAAATGTGCAACACTGGTTAATATAGTTAATGTGCTGGTTTGTACATTCCTTGCAAGTCATCTTTAAAAGCAAATGACGTAATTTCAAATTAGGATTCTCAGATATAATTTATTTCTTAGTTCTATCTGTATTACACTGAAAATAATTTTAGAAATATCCTTAATGCCACTTAAAACCTGAAATAGAGCAGTAAGTTAATCTGACAGAATATAAAGTGAACACCTTAGCTATATTTAATTGTCCCAGTTGGGTGGACACTCCTCGACACCCTGTTCGGCTCCACACACTGTAGGAACTCGAGTTCACAGAGAATCTGGGAGGGCTCGCGCACAGCTGTCATCACAGCAGCAGAGGTCGCTGTCATGACAGCAGCAGGCCACTGTCAATACAGGTCGCCTGATCGATCGTCTGACCAAACCAGGCTGACCTGAGGGCAGTATATAAGCTCTGGCCATGAAGCATTGACTCCGCGGGATTGCGCAGGGCAGTCACGGGCGTCTACGCCATTTTCCGTTCGTTGAGCTGAGGGCCTTTACCCCAACTCCCCCGCACAGAGCAATACGAGCCCTCCAAATATCAAACTCTAAATGTATTAAAATAACAAAATACCTCGCCGCTATTTTATCACCAGACCCTCCTCCCAGCGGGGAACGCAGAGTACGCAGAAAGGCAAGGCAGGCCAAGGCGACAGTGAAGGCGCGGAAGGATGAGCACGGGCCAGCCGGGCATGAGGTAAGGTAGGAAGACTACCTATACCGCGAGCGCGCAAGCGCATCAGCGACCGCAGAGCCCAGTGGTCTCTTTCTAGTAATTTCGCTAACCGTGACGTCATCTCTGCGCGCCGTTACAGTGCTTAACTACAAACTGTGATTTAGTTTTTGGTGAAGGGAGTGGAAAAAAAAAATGAACTGACCTACCCCGCCCCATTTTGGTTTCAGTCCTTCACGCTGGCTTCGCCTACACTTTGGGCAATGGAGCGGGAAAGGAAAACGCACGTAGGCTGAGCTCAAAGCGGTGCCAGACGGGGATGACTCGGCGACGCCGCCAGACGCGTTACCCGGCGTGCTCCGCGCGGGGCCGGTGGAGGGACGTGGGGGAAGGGGCAGGGAGGAGGAAGCGGTGGCTGCTGCGGATGTGGATGTGAGCGAGCGACGCCTGAACACACCGCGGCTGCCTAGCGCCTGACCCGGGCCTGCGCCAGAGCCTGCACTGAGCTCTGAGGCCCCACACCCGTTAGGGTGGCCCTGCGCCCGTTGCTACTGAGGCGAGGTGCTCTGCATTCTTCGCTGCCCAGGCCTGCCGGCTCCTCCTCGCTCACCCGCTCCCTCCTGCTCGCCTGAGTCACCGCCGCCGCCACCACCGCCGCCGCCATGGCCGAGAGTGGTGAAAGCGGCGGCCCTCCTGGCTCCCAGGATAGCGCCGCCGGAGCCGAAGGTGCCGGCGCCTCCGCGGCCGCTGCCTCTGCGGAGCCCAAAATTATGAAAGTCACCGTGAAGACTCCGAAGGAGAAGGAGGAATTTGCTGTGCCCGAGAATAGCTCCGTCCAGCAGGTGAGGCCGTCTGGGGCTCGGGCCGGGGTGGGGGTGGCGGCAGGACCTCGGCCTGCAGCCTCTGGAGACCTTTTGGAAGGGTATGGGGAGACCCTCCGAGGTGCCCTCGGCCATTCTCCCGGGCGTCGTCCCAAATAAGATCACACCCCAAGTTCGTGGGTTTGCGCCTTGGGACACCGCAGTGGTTTGTGGCGTTGCCGCGCGGCCTGTTTGTGGGACCGGCCGACGCTGCTTTTCTCGGAGCCTTCCTCCTCTAGCATCCGTCGCCCCTCAGCTTCCTCCCCCAGTTCTCCCTCAGTCGCCTCCCCTCCAACTCTTCACAAAGGAAAGGGACCCACCGCCTGGTTCCGGGCGGGGTGGAGGCTGGGCGGGGGCGAGGGTTCCCTTAGCTCAAGCTGCGATTTTGTTTAATGAATTATTTAAAAAGGGTGGATAGGATCCTCATTGTTTTACCTGCCTGTTTGTTAAGGTAGGTTTTGGGGTGAGGTGCACGTATACATTTAGTTCTGCATTTTAACTCCTGAAATCTTTCCCACCTTGAAAGCTTTCTTAAAAAAAAAAAAAATTATGACGTAGAAATCGTTTTTAGCTCCTTGTTAATAGTAATAGTACTAGGTTTAAGGAGAAATATGAATGAATGATGATGACTTGCTCTTTCCCTTTTAGTATGTTTGTCGTTTCTTAGATGCCAATCATTCGGTAGGTATTTGTTTGATTTTAGAGGGGCGAGAGCAATGTTGATATTAGCGGTTGCAACCAAATAAAAGAAAATTGGAGTTAATGGAGAATGGTACTTAAGCTTTGTTCAGGAATACAAATCTTGCTGTTAATTAAGAATCTTGGTGGAATTTAACAAATAATTTTAGTGTATTGTTGAATATGTCGTATTTTCCATAATTATTGACTTAATCGCTGAAGATCTCAATGTGAACAGTTTGTGACAGGAAATAAACAGTTCCGAAAACGTACCTATAAGTTTCCTCAGGAATAGTAAGTGATTGGGGTGTTGGTTTAGCGAATTCCAAAGGTAGTGTGTTTTGTGAGGCAGTGAGGTGTGTAACATCAAATAACAGAAACTTTTACCACCATCTGAATTATCACCTTTTTTTTTTTTTTTGTCTCCCAATGCTTGTGAAAATTTTCCTTACCATTTTTGTATTTTCAAACATACAGAAAAGTTGAAAGAATTTGGCAGTGGACACACATGGCCATCATCTACAGTTAGCATTTTACTGTATTGTAATTAGTTATAAGTCCATTTTATTTTGGGGAAGCAATTCAGAGTAAGTTGCATGTATCAGTAGATGACAACAGTACATGTCACTTCAGCGATGTGAACTTACTTGCTCATATTCAACTTCATTTTTTACGTTTGTGACCTAATTTTGATATGCAATGAAATGCATATGGTTGTAATTCCATGAGTTTTCACAAATGCTTACACCTGTGTAACCCAAGCCCCATCAAGATATAGAACATTGTAATTGACTAGAAAGTTTTTTCTTGCCTTTTCCCAGTCGTTTTAGTAGCTTTACCTTCCATCAACCACCTCGCCTTTTTTTTTTTTTTTTTTTTCGGTGCTGTAAATTAGAGGAGTCTATAGTACTGTGTGTATTTTTCTGGGTAAGGTGTTTTTTTTTTTTTTCCCCACTCTGCATAATGTGTCTGAGTTTCGTGTTCGTATATCAGTAGTTCCTTTTTATTGCTATGTAGTTTTCCACTGTATGTATATACCATAATTAATCTATTCACTGTTGAGGGTCACATGAGGTGTTTCCAGTTAGTTACTACGGACAGTCTTATACAAGTTTTTTGTGGACTTACTCTTTTATCTTTCATGGTTATATACTTAGATTTGGTTTGAGTAGGTCATAGGGCAATTGTGTGTTTTAATTTTCTGAGAAAGTATGTTTTTAAAAACGCTTGTGGGCCTGGCTCGGTGGCTCATGCCTGTAATCCCAGCACTTTGGGAGGCCGAGGTGGGTGGATTGCCTGTGGTCAGGAGTTTGAGACTAGCCTTGGCCAACATGGTGAAATTCTGCCTCTACTAAAAATACAAAAATTAGCTGGTTGTGGTGATGGGTGCATGTAATCGCAGCTACTCTGAAGGCTGAGGCAGGAGAATCATCGCTTGAACCTAGGAGGTGGAAATTGCAGTGAGCCAAGATCAGGCCCAGCGTGGGCAACAGAGTGAAACTCCATCTCAAAAAAAAACAACAACCCAGCACTTTGGGAGGCCGAGGCGGGTGGATCACGAGAGATCGAGACCATCCTGGTCAACATGGTGAAACCCCGTCTCTACTAAAAATACAAAAAATTAGCTGGGCACGGTGGCGCATGCCTGTAATCCCAGTTACCCAGGAAGCTGAGGCAAGAGAATTGCCTGAACCCAGGAGGCGGAGCTTGCGGTGAGCCGAGATCGCGCCATAGCACTCCAGCCTGGGTAACAAGAGCGAAACTCCGTCTCAAAAAAAAAAAAAAAAAAAAAAAAAAAATGCTTGTATCATTTTACTATACCATCAAATGAAGATACATGGGAGGGAGTTCCTCATGCTCCATATCCATGCTAGCATTTTGATATTGTCAGTTTCTTTAATTTTAGCTATTTTAGTGGGTGTGTAGCCATATTAAGTTTTAAGGCTCTTGGGTCTCTTTTCTAGGATTCCTAATTCATGCCTCCACTATCCTGGCTGCTTTCAGCATTTTACTGCAGAAGATTAAAAATAGTCAATATTTTACAAATAGAAAAATTATTTTCAGTAGATACATAATTGTTATAGCTTTGAGGATTTTTTTTTTGGATTTTGTGATGGTAAAATTAAAATTATAAATTCTGTGAATGCTTTTATTTTACTTTGCTGTAACCAAAGCAGTGTTTTTTTTTTTGGGACAGATTCTTACTCTGTCACCGAGGCTGGAGTGCAATGTCGTGATCTTGGCTCACTGCAGCTTCTGCCTCCTGGGTTCAAGTGACTCTCTTGCCTCAGCCTCCTGAGTAGGTGGGACTACAGGCATGTGCTACCATACCTGGCTAATTTTTGTGTTTTTAGTAGAGAATCTTGGCCAGGCTGGTCTGAACTTCTGACTTCATGATTTGCCTGCGTTGGCCTTCCAAAGTGCTGGGATTACAGGCATGAGCCACCGCATCCGGCCTAAAGTGAATTGTTAATAGATAAAATTAAAGTCTTTCTGAAGTAAACTTTTCTCTTGGCAGTTAATTTTTGAATTCTGGATCTTTGTTTTATGTTGAAGCAGAAAATGTGATAAAAATTGATGCTTACCACCACACCAAAGAACCTGAAGGCAAGTTGAGCTTGTATATACAAGGGAAACAGATACAGGAAAATGTGGAAGAATAAAAGCAGTTTGCAAATGTCCTATTTGTAAAATCTACTTGAAGCACAAAAAAAGATAAGCCATTTTATTCTTTAAAATTATGAAGGGTTTGATAGATTGAAACTATTTGCTACAAATGAAAATTTGTCATTAAAAAATACTTAATGACATTAAGATTCCACTGAAAATGTCCAGTTACAAATTGGGAAATATTAGTTTTGAAAATTTGCACCTAATTTTGGAGGGTCAGAGAATAAGCAGAAGACCTCCAGAGGATGCTATTGAAGGCTTATGCTCTATATCAGGCAAATTACATTTTCTATAAGTTACAGTTTTTTTTAGTATTTCTATATAATGTAGATTCCTTAACACATTATACTAAAATGGTATTTATAGGAACATGCTGTAATAATTGATTAGATGAAATTGTGTTAAACTTCTTGGATAAATTGTAAAATAGGTTGTAAGGTGGTAGTACATCCTGTTTTCCATTGGTTTCTGGTCGTTACTACCAAAAAGCAGAAAAAGGATGCCTTAATGTATTCATGCCATACACATTTGGTATTTAATAATGTTACTTGTTCAAGGTTACTAATAAAGCTTAAACTCTTTTTTTTAATTTAGTGTGAAATTTATTCATGGAGCACTCAGAATCAACTGAGTAGCATAAATTTTCACTTACAGGTAGTTAGAATATAAACTGTACTATGTATATTCCAAGGTGCTTTCATTAATAGGGATTTTCGTGATACAGGTTGAGTATCCCTTATAGGAAATGCTTGGGACCAGAAATGTTTGGGATTTTGGATTTTCTTTCTTTCTGTCCTTTTTTTTTTTTTGGACTATTTCAAATACGTAATAGATATCTTGGGGATGGCACCTAAATGTAAACATGAAATTTAGTTTTATTTCATGTACATTTTATGCACAGAACCTGAAGATAATTGTATACAATATTTTAAATAATTTTTCTGAGTGAAACAAACTGTATACATTGACTCATCAGAAAGCAAAGATGTCGGCTGTGGCTCAAGCGTGTAATCCCAGCACTTTGGGAGGCCGAGGCGGGTGGATCACGAGGTCAAGATATCGAGACCATCCTGGTCAACATGGTGAAACCCCGTCTCTACTAAAGATACAAAAAATTAGCTGGGCATGGTAGCGCGTGCCTGTAATCCCAGCTACTCAGGAAGCTGAGGCAGGAGAATTGCCTGAACCCAGGAGGCGGAGGTTGCGGTGAGCCGAGATCGCGCCATTGCACTCCAGCCTGGGTAACAAGAGCGAAACTCCGTCTCAAAAAAAAAAGAAAGGAAAGATGTCACGTGTGGTTTTCCACATGTGGTGTCATGGTGTTAAAAAATCCAGATTTTGGAGCATTTCAGATTTCATAGTTTTGGATTGGGGATGCTCAGCCTGTATCTAAGTAAAGCGATACATAAGGGTGAATGTGTAATGGCACAAAGTCCCTGTGTATGAGGTTGTTTTTTTGTTATTTGTCATCAGCTATTGAAAAGAGCTTTGAGGATTTCCAAGCATCCATGAGCAACATCACATCTAGAAGAATGAAGAGTTATATATGTGAGATGTTAGCGCAGAGAATGGAGGGAAATTTTTGTATAACTTCTAATTAGCTTATTTTGGGATTTCATAGACTGCTAGGTTAT